AAAGAAAGATAGTTACTCCTACTTTTCAATAGAGTAACCAGTAGATAGATGAGATAAGGTTGCATTTAATGTGATACTTATAATTTTTGATATTTAGTGGTGAAAACATTACTTAAAATGAAAAATACTAAACTAAAAGTAACTCAAATTTCGCTACCACTCGAAAATACTATTTTACAAAGCGGAGCAAGTTGGCATCCCTGTAGATTTAAAGCGAAAGCAAAAATGAGCCTGTTAAATTAACCATTCCCATACTTTAAGGTACCGCTTTTTATTTTTTATGATCCTGATTCTTTTTTTGTACGAATACATTTCTGACTCGCCCGTCCCGAAAAGGTTAATGCACGGACTTTTAGAAATGAAAAAAATTAGACGGCATTAATTTTCGTTTGAATTCATTGTACATTTGCACAGCAGTTATTCAGAGCTACTGTATTATTTCAGAGATGCCAACTTGCTCCGGACAGCAAATATATATTTTAAAGTGGTAGTTTATCAATTGTGATTCTTGGTTTAATAAATTCAATTTAGTAGATTTTTATCCGCCACTATTTCTAAATAATTATATGATTTACCACTATGTAGTACTTATGTTATGCTATACCCTTTAAAAAGCAAGCAAAAATAGTCGAATATGTGCAAAATTTACTTTGTAGTTATTTACAGTTTTTTTAAAGTTATTTTAGCGTGTCCGGAGCAGTTGGTATCTCTGTTATTTCCATATAATATTCATGGAAAATACTTTTCCTAGTGGTAGCAAAGTTATTGTACTAATATTTTAATGAACTAGGATTGAAAGAGTTTTATCCACCACTGCATATAAGTAACATTAAATAATAATAAATAGGTCGAGTAGGAGAAAGTTGTTTTTCCTAAGTTCTAATAAGAGAAGGGCATTTTTGAAAATATATTGTGTTATTTTTAAATGTTATTATTATTTCCTCGAGCAAAGTGCATGAACCTCATCCATAGCCAGAACACTAAAATTTTTGAGCAAGCTGCTTCGTTTTATTTCCTATCATTTTAATATCCACGAGCAAAGTTCTCGAACTACTTATTCACAACCACATGGACGGCTGACCTCACAGTGTTGAAACAAACTTTCAAACAAATTCATGACGGATGGGACAGAAGCTGCTTCGCGGCCTACGTGCCCTTTCCAAAGTACTACTATGACTATAATGGTATGTTTAAGTTTTGGGAAATTATTACAAATATTTTTAAATATAATTGCATGCCTACCAACATATATGCTTTTCAAAGCGGTACTTTCCTAATGGTAGTAAAATATCAATTAAAGTCTTGTCTTTCTTTTGGATCTAGGTGCGTGGGCCGCGAAGCGGCCTTTATCCCATTTATCGAGTAGTATTTGTCATTTTGTTTGGTTTTTTTGAGGTTAACACAATGTGGTTGCTGTCAGGGGGATTCAAGCACTTTGCTTGAATAAATAATAATAATGGAAATGAAACGGAGCAGCTTGTTCTAATCTATGTGTGACTTGCGTTTTGGATGCTGGTTGATGGTCAACGTAGGGAAACGCTTGATAGAACTTTCAATATTGTAGTTGTTGAAGCTGATGTTATAGGTGGATCTGTGATAAGAAATTTGTTAAAGCTTTTATTCATTTTGATGATTCTGATATGAGGATTCTGTAGAAAAAACCATACATAAAATACTCGATTCGAAAATCTTGTATGTCAACATCTACTGTGCTCCTTATTTTTATACTTGGTGTAACATTAAAATTATCTATTGCCATATTAGGAAACAATAACAAATCTTAATTTTTTTCTATTCAATTTGGAAAATAGTTTTTATAACAACATTGCAACAAGCCAAATTTTTGATTGCGTAAAAACTCCTTTTTCTAAAAGTTTCAGTTGGTTTCATGTTACCCCAAATTATATTATATATTACCCCTAAACATTACTAAAAATACAATAATATAAAATATATAGAATACGTACCAGACTTCCTCATTTTTTTTAAATTTTATTTTTATGGAACAATTTTTTTCTTGTGGTTTTTCGTGTTTGCACTTTGGTTTTCATGTAGTTTCACAGTAAACCTTTCAATTGATTATTCTGATGAGTTAATTCTATGTGTGTGAGTAAAATAATAAGTCATACTTTTAATACATTTATTATATGGTAATGTTCATTCCTTTTTCCAATAACTACGTGCAATTCAACAGTTCATGAAACTAGGTTATTTGAAATTTCATTAAACTAATTGAAAACTGTAAAAAAACATGCAAGTCACGTTTTTTGCATAGAATTCTGTTCTCTCAAATCAAGCTAATGGGTAGTATGTTTTTGACATTACCAAAATACATATGAATGATAAAATATGACTCCACTGTCATATAGTTACAAATTATTTTAATGCAACTTAGTTATAAAATTTTTCAAATTTCTATAGGTGTATACTTTGCGTTACACTTATTTCATATAGTAGCAAAGTTATAATCCCTTAGGTTCAGTTATAGTTGTAGCAAGTACTTATAGTTATGCAAAAATTATATAGTTATGCTAGCAATTATTGTTATAGTAGCATTTATAGTCAGTATCAACTTTTCTTCAAAATTTTTAAAAAATATCGAGTTATACATTGAAGAGCTAATTCCATTAATTTTCATTTGAATTAGAGATAAAAAGCACAATCCAAATCATTAATCACTGTGCTTTATCTAAGCGCACCTAAAGACGCTTTGGTAACTGCATATTCATCTGGTACTTCAGTTGTTGTTAATTAGTTGTTTCAACTACCATCATTTGTAAAACTTCTGAATTTCACACCCTTCATCAAGGACAAATAATAGGCACTAGATGCATGGGCTACTTAATTTTCAAAATCGTCTGATTTCCTTGGTCAACGGTGTCAATAATAGAGATTGAAAAAAACCTACAAAGGCATTGGCCATGAACGAGCAGGATCTAAGATGGCTCAGCTACATTGTATGTCAAGAACAGTATTGTACGTAGAGATTCCAATTTACACTTTGTAGAATATTTTTTTTTCTAGTGGTAGTGAAATTAATGTAACATTGATTCAAAGTTATTTTTCCCACCACTACATTTAAATAATCCAAAATTTCATACAAAAGGACGCATCTGTCCAATGATATTTCATTTTATTTAATAACAGTCGTTGAATAACCAACCCAATTTTGGATTAGCAACTACCAATGCTCAAGTCCAGAAGACAAGGGAACTCCTGGATCAAGAATTGGGAGAAATTTCCCTTCTTGGAGGACTTTTTGATGGAACTAACCCCTATTTACGTTACAAGGAGAGAGGAAATATGAAAAGCTCCCACTGTTAGCCTGACGGTAAGGAGACTCTAACCCTTGATCCGTCAACCACTGGGGATATTTTACGTCAACACTGTGGTCGGTGCGAGTCGGGTGCAGAATTCGAATCGACCATACATCACTGGGATTCGAACTCGGTTCACTTCGCTGGGAGGCGAACGCTCGATCCCCTGCGCCACCACAGCTCATTTAATATTATCGTGGTGATTCTTTTAAAATGTTCACATTAAACAAAACTCTGCAACTTTAAAAAATGTTTTACCAAAAGTGATTCACTTAGCAGTCCTGTTACTTGTGGCTAGAGAAGCCACACATTAACTGATATTACTAGCTAGTGAATCAGGGTGCTAGTGAATCGTACAGTCAACAACGGACCGTATAACGCTTCTTTTACCGTATGGGCCTCGGGAGCCGTAAAGTCTAATTCGTTATTAACTTGTTATTCATTAACCCTTAGTATTGAAGTCGTTTAAATCCCTTGGTTCTAAAATTGGGAAAAAATGCCCAATTCATCACCAAAATTTCATCACCAAAATTTCTTATTTCGGTAGTAGTTCACATACATGCAATTTTAAAGCTCATATTCTTTTGATGTTCTTTTGATTTTGGTCGATTCAAATTTTCTCTGAGTAAATGAAAAAAACACATTTCTCAAAGTCTCAAGCCATGACCTTTCAATTTGTGTCAACAGTTTTGTCATGTAAATTCTTCCAAAACATTTCAGTTTCTTGCGACTTAAAGATCAAGTTTAACGTCACGCCAAATATTCACGACTCATTTGTTTTTTGTTAGGTACTACTCCATGGCATGTATTCATTACATTTGTCGTCCACTATTGGTACTAGTAGTTACTGACAGTCAAAGTATAAGAAAGTGTATTTAAAAAAAAAAAAATTCTTGAATTACGTTTGACATTCGATGTAAAGGTTCACTGAAAGTATACATTTCTTAATAATTAGTTGGGAGGTAGTAAAACATAAAATAATTGTCAGTGCCGTGAATCACTCGTTACGCAAAAAGTATTTTTATTTGTACATCGATATGTTTTTGTTTTCAACATTCCAGAGGATCATCGGTTTTAAACCCTAAGTTCATAAAAAAAAATAAAAAAAAGTTTCGGCTTTAAAAAAAAACACGTGCTCAATAGTTTTACATGAAAACCATGTCATTGGGTTTTATTTTAGTTAGCATAAAAGTATATTTTCGAATGAAAGTTCTTCTATAGTTCAAATATCTTTCTCTTCGTATTAAGGGGAAATCTTAGAGAACAACAAAAACGGTTATTGTTTAAAAATTATTTCATAAAAATTTATTTCAACTGGATTATATAAAATTATTTGAAAGTTTCATAAAATATTTACAAATTATTTAAAATATTGAACTATGTAACCAGAATAACAATAACGCACTTGAAATTCGTAAAAAAGTTTATTTATAAGCTGAATCAATATTCAATAAGTGCTCTAAATGTTCCAAACGTACTGGGAACTAGCTATATTAAATAACTGAAAAAAGTTCCATTTGCTAATTATTTTGGTATTTCTAAATTTCATGTATAATTTAATTCATTTTTTTTAAATAATATTTTAAAAATAAACTTTCATGTTTAAAATTTGCGCTTCTTTGGCGAATGAGTTGGCGCTAGTAAACGAAACTACTATTCTTAAAAGCCGGTAGTTTTGATTGAGCGCGAGTAGGCAGGCTCTGGTAAAATTACACTGGAAGGTTTTTCTTTCTCTCAGTGCTTGAGAATAGCGATGTTTGAAGGATGCAAAGAAACAGGTAAAAAAAGTTTCGCGTTCGTTAAGTTTTTCCTCGTGTTCCCTCTGTCATGACGACATTCGAGTTTTTGACATTTTTCTAAGACTTGGAATGCACATGTGACGAATGAAGAACTCAAGGGGCAATGTCGTTTTGACAGCCCATGGGAGGTCGAATCCCCTAATGTTACTCTCTTCATCAACTGCTTATAATCTTCTAATGTCAATTAATTGGTTGATTTTAAGCGCTTTCATATCTTTTGGACAGTGGTAAGTTATTATTTTTTCTAAAAAAATAAATTCAAAAACTTGAGATATCGAAAAATCACTTATATTTTTGGGTTTTTTAAAATGTTGTGGTTGAATAATATAACGAATTTCAATTTATTCTTATAAGTCTTTAGGTGAAGTGATTTCAATGGGAAAATATTTTCTGAGCAGCTGCTAGACTTTTTTTTTATACATTCTATATTTTATTTTTTCTTATTCATCAAAATATATCTTGCATATCTTATATTGTATATCTAATATTCAATAGTTAAGCTATTTAATAAGGATAGTTTAGGTTTTTAATCATAAATGTCTTATGCCAATATAGTCTATAGATGAAATTTATACAATCTATATGTATACTGTATAAATACAGTATATGGAGAAATATGTATTCTACAATTGCAGAATCTCCCGATTTTGTGGACAGAATTTTTTTTATTTATAAAGTGGTAAAATACTATTTTTATTTTAGATTAAAAAATTAGATTTATATTGACTTATTTGACTACCACTACTTAATTTAAATAGCTATTTAAACTCCAAACAATTCTTAGCAATAATATAACAGCCACCACATAGACTGCTAACCTTTAAGTTCTGCCGCAAATATAAAAGAAACATGATGGATGGGATAGGGGCTGCTGCACGGCCCAGGTGTCCAGCTCAAATTTCAAGACAAGACAAGTTAACAATTATATTTGCTAGGTTAAAGAATTCTGCCTACAATATTAAATAGGTGTACCGTTACAAGGAGTTTTAATAAGAAAGTGTGGTATATTAATTTATTTTCCTCACTTTTATTGCTATTTACACATGGGGCATGTTAACTCTTTAACTTTGAGAAAAAGTTCTTTCTTTCGAAAAGGCAAAAATTACTAACTAAATTATTTCATTCTCGGCATTGTTTTTTGAAAATTAAAACATTAGTGTACGAAGTATTATGAACATAAATAACTTTGCACCATTTTAACAACAGAATGTATTTTTCACTGAAGTAGGCAATTAATAGTGTATTTTTATTGAAAGATTAATTTTGTACCTAATAAAAATTGCGCTAATTAAAGTTTAGTTATAAAATGAAAATTTGTCTCAGGGCTGTTATTTTTCCGGAGCAGATAAAATACTGGTAGGAAGAGCATTCCACTTTCACCTTTTCAGGAAAAGTTACTTTTCATGACTACCACTTTTTTTTCGTAATATTTATTTCCGTATACTTTTTTAGTATATTTCTCTAATATTATTACTTTTTCTTGATATTTCCTCTTCTTAATATTCCATATATTCACTTGATAAATATTTGCGAACAAACTAAACTGCATGTTATTAAGTAGTAGATTGTTAATAATGTTACTTCTCCTGATTGAAAGCGTGATATTTTTATTACCAGTTTTTTGTCTTTACCGGTTGCGTAATCAGGGCTCATATACACCTGGAAAAATTGAAAAAAAAATGGTATTAATATTAATATTATTTTTTCAATGTTATTATGTTCGCAGCTACCAAAATATTTTACTTGTTATGGCTGTTACCCATTTGTTGAATCTCAAACAAAGTAGTTTTCCAACGGGCCATAAAACTTTTTAATGTTGGTAAATTTGCGAAATGCTAGTAGCAATCACTTATTTTAAGACATCACTTTAATGTCTATATCATCAAGGTATAATTATTATTTTACAAAATAACTTAGGTATTTTGTATATCAAAATAACTTAGGTATATTAGGGGGATGGTAAGAAATAAATATAAAAACAATATTGGTTGCTTCATTTTCGTTAAAATTTTCAACAATTTTAAGGCCTGTGGGAATCTTGCCAAGGAATTATATTTTTTAATGCTAAAACTGACCTTTTTCTATGTACGTTTTTTCAACAACTAAACAAGATATTGCTTTAGTTTTTTTCACAGAATATTTACGTATACATGCTTATACTGTGATAACTGTTAATACATATAGTTGACCGAAATTTTTAAAAAAAATTATGAGCTGCGAATTTTTAATTTTTTAAAAAGTTTCATCAAAAATCTTTCATAACTCGAAAAATATTCCTGTTAACGCTAAAGGATTCCGCATGCAACTAACTGACAAAATCTCAAATGTTCCCAAAAAATTTCAAAGCGATATCATAAATAGTTTCGTAGAAAAGGTACCTCGAAAAGGGTCAGTTTCAGCATTATTGATATATGCCCAACAGACTTCCCTTTAGTGGTTGCTAACACAATCAAATACCCAGTTAATTATAGCATTAATGCAGTGCCACCGTTACATAACAACACTTTTCACATATTTTCAACCAGAACAGTCTGGCTTACCCTGTTAACAGAGTTGCAAACCTTGACTTTTCATCGCCCGCATTCCTTTATAACCGTCATTGAACAGGCGACTAAATTTTTGGGTTAACAATTACTAATGTTAAAACGCTTGGCCTTGTAATTTTGAACCCAATCCAGAAGACAAGTCCTGGATCAAGTATTGGAAGAAATTTGCCCTCGTGGAGAACTTTTTGATGGAACTAACCCGCATTTGCGTTTCATGAAGGAAGAAACCTCGAAAACCTCTCACGGTTAGCCTGGTGATAAGGGGATTCTAACCCATCATCCATCTACCACTGAGGATAGTGAGGACGTCAGCACTGTGGTCGGTGAGAGCTTGTTGCGGAATTCGTATCGACTAGCCATCGCTGCGATTTGAACCCAGTTTATGTCATTGAAAGGCAAACACTCTATCCCCTAAGCTACCAGGGGTTCCCATACCTTTACCTGCACAATTAGGCGACTTAAGTATGAGCCCACTGTGTAAAAAGTAGCAATGTAACAGCGATGCCAACTTGCTCCACTTTGTGGAAATAGTTTAGAATATAAAATGTTTGCAAGGAATTTTGAGTTAGAAGATTTGATTTAAAGGTATGTTGCCCACCACTACATTTAAATTAATCAGATATCCATGTAACAAGGCACTTAGCTCCCATTTATTCGTGGAGAGCCTTTTATAATATTGGCGAAGAGAAACAAATTTATGTAAATTTTACTTTTTATATTGTCTACCGTTACTTAAAATATTTTGCCGAAAGCGGAGCAGTTGGCATTACTGATATATGCAGAGTTGCCAACTTGCTACTCTTTGTAAAGGAGTACTTTTTGGTGGTCACCTAATTGAAAACAGAGCTCGAAAAAACTCAGAAATTTTACCCGTCCCCGAGATGAATCAAATATGACGTTTGCCAGTTCCACAATCATGCCAATGATTTTTAGAGGTTTCTGCACAGAAATCTGAAGGGGGTTTTCCATTTAGGTAGATGTTTATAATTGCCTTTAACGCTTCATGTTTAATAACAGTACATAATGTGTTCTTTTGTAAGTTCATCGCTGAAAAGCCTATTTTAACCGCTACAGTACTCCCAGACAGAGAAAACATCAATTCCACCATACGCTGTATGTTGCTGTATTGTGGGTCATTTTGCTGCATTAGGTCTTTATAAATAGCTTGGGCTAGGAGGGCTGAAGTTTTCTGGTGTTTAACGATGTTATGTATCTTAAATTTTAATGACGCCCATTAAAATTTGAGATATATTCCAACAAAAATTTAAAATTTATCACGAACATTAACGGGAAAAGGGCCGTCCGCGCGGACGTCGGATTCGAGAAATTCGTTGTCCGCGAGGAATTTTTGACCGCCGAGGACGGGTGGTTTTTCGAGCCCTGATAAAAATATTTTTGTAAACTTTATTATTTTTCATTATAAGCAGGGATGCCACGAGCGACAAGCAATGTTAAAAGTGGTAGAATCTTATTTTATTTTTGCTTATTTATTATCTCTGTAATTATTCAATTATAACTACTATAACTTTCATTTCAAATTATTCATACTTAAAACAAAGACAATGTTTCCACCCACTGACAATGGAGATCTCTTCCTTCCCTTCTTTTCCACAACTTATGCCTTATAACCAAAGAATGTAACCAAAAAAATGCCTTTTAACCAAAGAATATAACCAAAGATATGCCTTATAACCAAAGATATTCTTTGTTTTAACTATATGCCTTGTTACATGTCTGCCCAGTATTGATGAATCGGTTTGTGGCTCTTCACGCTAAATATAAAGTTACACTCAATATCCAGCTTCCAGTATGTTTACACTCACTTTTAATAGTATGTTAAAAAAATATGCTAAAATAGTTGCTAAGTATAATATCTTTTAATAAAGGTTTTAATTTTATTAGTCACCACCATATTTTGAATTTTTTGTCGCCCGTTTTATGTAACCCTGTCAACCCGTTTTATGTAACCCTGTTTTAGGCAACCCTGTTTTATGTAATTTTAGGAAAATAGCCAGTGGCAACTGTCCTAGCCATCCTAACCGTTTTTAAAAAAAGGTAATTTTAACAGAATACTAACAAAAATTTTCAATATCGAGGTTGTATTTTCTTGATCCCTGTAAGGGATTTATTTTGATAATTTGTAATGTTATATAATGGCCATTGTTTCGAATCTTTACGAATTATTGTTAAATAAATACATTTTTTACTACGATTTTTGTTAATTTCCTGGAGAATCATTTTGTTTCATCCATTTATTATCACCCAAAAAGAACAATAATGAAGATATTTTCCACCATATGATAAGAATGGTGACCACCAGCATCACCACCACACCAATATTTTCTCCTTTTTGTAAATTTGGTATTAAATGCAAAACTCGATATAAGATCATATCTGTATTGCAAATAACTATAGAGTAAAGCTTATATTAATCTGCTGAACTACTCAATTATCAACTGAGTAGACAGAAAGAATAAAGATGGAGGTTTTTTTATTAGCAATCAAATTAGTTAAATAGTATTAAGTTACATTACAAAAAATTATAAAAGATGATTTCGTAACAATTAGTTCTTTCCTGGAATTTAGTGGTAATTTTAATTGTTTATTGATCGGAGTCAAGTTTACGGGAAAGACCAGAATCAAAATTGGAATCGAACATTTCAACAGACTCCACAGCTCTG